AGAGAGAGTTGTGTTCATGTCTTGACTATTGTAAATAATGCTGCTGTGAACAACACAGGGGTGCATGTATCTATTTGATGTAGTGATTTTTGTTTTTTCTGGATATACACCAGACTGGAATTGCTGGATATATAGTAGCTCTATTTTTAGTTTTTTAAGGAACTCCATATGTTTTCCATAGTGGCTACACAAATTTATATTCCACCAACAGTGTACGAGCTTCCCTTTTCTCCAACATTTGTTGATGACGGCCATTCTGACAGGTGTGAGGTGATACCTCATTCTGGTTTTGATTTGCATTTCTCTAATAATCAGTGATGTTGAGCATCTTTTCATGTGCCTGTTGGCCATCTGTATGTCTTTTCTGGAAAAATATCTATTTAAGTCTTCTCCCCGTTTGTTGATTGGGCTTTTTTTTTTTTTTAATATTGAGTTGTATCAGCTGTTTGTATATTTCAGATAATCACTCCTTATTGGTTGCATCATTTGCAAATATTTTCTCCCATCCCATAGGTTGTCTTTTCATTTTGTTGATGGTTTCCTTTGCAGTGCAAAACTTTTAATTAGGTACCCTTTGTTTATTTTTGCTTTTATTTCTTCTGCTTTGGGAGACTGATCCAAGAAAATATTGCTACAACTTATGTCAAAGTGTGTTTCACCTGTGTTCTCTTCTAGGAGTTGTTCGGTTTCATGTCTTACATTTAGGTCTTTAAACCATTTTGAGTGCATTTTTACATATGGTGTGAGTGAATATTCTAATTTTCATTGTTTTACATGTAGCTGTTCAGCTTTCCCAACACTACGTGCTGGAGAGACTGTTTTCTCCATTGTATATTCTTGCCTTCTCCATCATAGATTACTTGACCGTGTAAATGTGTGGGTTTACTTCTGGTCTCTCTGTTCTGTTCCACTGATCTTCTTGTCTGTTTTTGTGCTAATACCATGCAGTTTTGATTACTGTAACTTTGTAGTGTAGTCCGAAGCCTGGGAGGGTTATACCTCCAGCTTTGTTCTTTTTTCTCAGAATTGCTTTGGCAAATTGGGGTCTTTTGTGCTTCCATATAAATTTTACGATTATTTGCTCAAGTTCAGTGAAAAATGTCCTGGGTATTTTGATAGAGATTGCATTAAATATGTAGATTGTTTTCAGCAATATGGCCATTTTAATAATATTGATTCTTCTAAGCCAAAAGCATGGGATATCTTTCCATTTCTTTAAATCATCTTCGACTTCCTTCATTAATGTCTTATAGTTTTCAGCATATTGGTCTTTCACTTCCTTGGTTAAGTTTATTCCCAAGTATTTTTTTGATGTGATTTTATTTTATTTTTTTTTTACTTTTCTTTTTGATATTTCATTATTGGTGTACAGAAATGCAACAGATTTCTGTATATTAATTTTGTATCCTGCAACCTTGCTGAATTCATTTATTAGTTCTAATAGTTTTGGGGTGGAAACTTTAGGGTTCTGTATATAGAGTATCATGCCATCTGCAAATAGTGACAGTTTTACCTCTTCCCTTACAATTTGGATACCTTCTATTTCTTTTTCTTGTCTAATTGCTGTGTCTAGGACTTCCAATACCATGTTAAATAGAAGCAGTGAGAGTGGGCATCCTTGTCTTGCTCCAGATTTTAGCGGGAAGCCTTTCAGATTTTCACTATGGAATATTGTGTTGGCTGTGGGTATATCAGTTATTCAATCTAAAAATAAAATCCACATAAAAGTGATTTGAAAGCTTAGTGAGTTGATCAGATGGTTCATTAATTTGTTATTGAGGTTCCAGATCTCAGCTTTTCCTTGGAATAACCCTAATTTTCATAGTCTTGCCAGCTGCACTCCACATCACAGAGGCAAAGAAAAAACAGAAGGCATTGCTATATTGCATGATGACTAATGGGCCATGTGAGAGTTTAAATTTGTTTTCTTCTCCAAAAGATTTGGAGCAGAATTTTTTCTAAAATTAAATTATGTCCCATATAAAATACAAAGATAACTGAGGTCTAGAAAAAAATCCCTTGGCTTATTAAGAAGTATGAAAAGAGTTCTTAGGGGTATTGAAAGGAATATTGGTTTTGGAAATTAAGGATTTGCTTGGAGTCCTGCCTTTACCATAACTAGTTACCTTACCTTCAGTAAAACTTTGGCATCTCTGAAGTCCATCATCTGAGAAACAGGATAATAATCCAACTCATAGTTATTGAAAAGATGAAAGCAACTTGTATGTTGTAATGCATAAAAAAGGTATTTTTGTTTTCTGTTAGTAAACTCTTCCAAGTTAGATTCTCTTTTTTTCCTGGACCTAAAATAACTGTAAGCTCACAATGAAATGTGTCAATAGCTGAGGCAATCTCAAAATAGTGATCGTATGTCTTCTTCATTTAGATAGCAACATCTGCTCTATAGTGTTTGTCTTCTGGTCTTTTAAAAAAATATTGTATTTTCAATGTCAATTTTAGCAGGTATGGATTGAAAATAACCTCTCACAATAAACAGAAATGACTGACAATAAAATTAGCATGATTTCGTCAGTTGGTACAATCCATGCAACTGACAGATCAGCTTCTATCACTTTGACAAATCCTTTACTTACTAGTTATTTCCATCTAGAGCACACAAATGTTTAATTCATTCATTCAGAATCTTTCAAGTCGTGATTGTACAATGTTTACTTCAAGTTTTGGCTTTGATTAATAAATCACTCCCTTACCTCCGAGATCTTTTTTTTTTTTTTTTTGGCCTCTCACTGTTGTGGCCTCTCCCGTTGCGGAGCACAGGCTCCGGACGCGCAGGCCCAGTGGCCATGGCTCACGGGCCCAGCCGCTCCGCGGCATGTGGGATCTTCCCGGCCCGGGGCACGAACCCGTGTACCCTGCATCGGCAGGCGGACTCTCAACCACTGTGCCACCAGGGAAGCCCCGAGATTTTATTTTTAAAAACCTTTCTTTCCTCCTAAAGGATGGTTTCCTGACCTATCAGATGGAACCATAACGAATTGCAAACTTTGACGCAATAAGTTAGGAATTTTTAATTGTAGCCCAACTTCAAAAACAAAGGCTGGCAAAGATCATTTTTCCTGATCTCAGTAAATTCTTGGATTTTTGAGCTCTAGAATGAACAGAAGACCCTTTCATCTTCAGCTGTTGAGGACACGTGCGCTGAGGAAGGGACTAATGTGGCTTGTGGTTCTCTCTGGTTGTTTTTCTCCCCAGCAGCGCCTCTGAGCTCACTTAAACCTCCGAGAGTGGACACTGCTCCAGTGGTCTCATCTCCCTATCAAAGAAGAGATTCAGACAGATACTGTGGGCTCTGTGCAGCCTGGTTTAACAATCCTCTGATGGCCCAGCAGCATTATGATGGCAAGAAACACAAAAAGAATGCAGCAAGAGTTGCTTTGTTAGAACAGCTTGGGACAACTCTGGATACGGGGGAGTTAAGAGGTAAGAGAAACTTCTTATTTCTGCCACAGAACTGGGCTTTCAGAGAAAGTGTTTTCATAAACTGGGATGATTCTTCCTATTGCTTTGCTTACTAAGGACAATTCTAGGATCCTCCAAAAGGAATAGAAGAAAAAGGAAATGAACAGAAAACTAATTTTTTCCATCTCCTTTCTTTCAAAGTATTTGTGATTGCCATATTTTTATTGACTACATAGTAGTCAATACTATGTTCAGATCAAAACCACCCACTCATGAACCAGAGTTTTTCCTTCTGCTTTATCTTTAAACACCTTCTGGAATGAATGCTTTTGTACATGAGCAGTACAAGAGCAGATGCAAAAAAGGCCAAATGGTGTTATCTTAATTTTAAACTTTTGTGCTTTTATGAATTCAGCCAAAACAAAGCAACACATTGGCTCCATTTCATGGATTAAATTAAGCCCAAGGCCTTTTCGTGGGCATATCTAGGAAGCTGAGGTAACACAGTACTGTGGACCACTATAGAATCAATACCTGGCTCCTCCCATCCCCCATCTGTTAACCTATTTTCTCGGTTGATGGAAACCACAGAGCATTTTAAGTTCATGTGAGATTTTACAGAAGTTGCTGAGTGGAGACTTGGAATCATAGGGTGAGGATCAATCCTATGGATTCCTGAGGAAGCCACATACCATTCTGTGGAAGCTAATAGAATATTTCATCGTCAACAACCATTTAAACATTTTTTGATCACCTAAACCGTTTTGATCAACTGATGTTGGCAGTGTAGAAGTAGAAATGCATTTTCTCAGAAAACTAATTCTGCAAAGGGTGCTCTACTATACCTCAGATATTTTATGGTTTAGATATACTTTTAGAAGTTGGCCAGGAGCTCATCCATCATAATGGCTGTAATAACAAAGTTTACAAGTCAGTTCTGAGAATGCAACCTGGGTTTGAGCTGGGTTCGGTATGTAGAGCCTGCAATTCTTATTATCCTTACCAGGCTATGAGCCTCCAAGGGAAAATAACCTGGTATAATTCTAGACCAAATAAATGGGACAGAAGATCTTGCTGTGTGACCTGACAGGAGGGACAGGTCACTTCTGATTATGTTGGTTGGGGAAGACTTCACCAAAGAAAAGGACTGGAGTTGGAAATAGAAAGGTGGGTGGTCTTTTAGCAGGTGAGAAGGTATCCCATGTGAGCAGAATCATATATGTTTAGGCAAAAGAGAGGAAAACATAAGCTGTCGCTGGTGAATAAACAGATTATCATGGAAGAAGCCTATCATACAGCATAGATTTAGGACTGCAGGTCCATTAGGAGATCTATGGAGCTTGAGAGACTGATTTTTCCAAGATAATGATTAAAAACAGCAAATGAGAGCAAAGAGGAAAAACACTATTTTTGTGGAGGTTTTCTAGCTCTAGAGAAACAACATGGAGCTTAATATTTCAGTATGTTGGATAATCATGTTGCAAATGCTTTTGAATTGTTGGTACTATTGCTGTCTGCTGGGGAATTTCTTGTGTTCACAGTCTCTGTCTTGTTAAAAATACAGGAGGAGTATTTTTTAGCTGAAGGCCTCCCATGTCTCGCTGTTCCTGGCAGATGACAAGTCTGCTCCGCGACTCCTTCATGGCAGGCACTGAAGGAGAAAAATAGGGCTTTATTTATGTTTTGTGCCAGATATTATGACTCGTAGAAGAATTATTCCTGGAGCACATTCTTCTTGTCTGTTTTGAACTATCGGTGCTGCATCTTTTAGGTACAACCGTGTCTTAATGACTTGGGAGTCTGAATTCTGTAACATTTGAGTGGTTTGTCTTTTATCCCAAAGACAAAAAAGGTTGCTCTTGGACTTGATAACTCAATGTGATTCTGACTCAGGAGCACATGAAACGCGATTAGCATCGAACACAGCGTCCTTGAAACCGACCTTTTCACCCACCCCAGGTGACATCTTGATGTATATGTATTCAGGCATTAAATATTGCAAAAGTTTAGGGAATAAAGCAATGATGATAACCTAGCATGTTTTAAAACACATGCGTGCATGCGCACACGCGCGCACACACACACACACACACACACACACACACACACAGTCTTCTATTTCTGGAACGCTTCTAGTGCATGGTCGATCAATTAATAAAGGCAAAAATGCTAACCAGTAAATACAGGCATATCCATAACTTTTAAAAAACTGGTGTCAAGCAGCTGGAGGATGGCAGTGTCACAGGCTTCCTCTCCTTCTTAGCACTTCTCAGTTTTTAATTTTTTTATTTTATTTTATTTTTTTGGCTGTGCGGCACGTGGGATCTTAGTTCCCTGACCAGGGATCGAACCTGTGCCCCCTGCAGTGGAGGCATGGAGTCTTAACCACTGGACCGCCAGGGAAGTCCCAGCACTTCTCAGTAAAACCCTACATCATTTACCGGTTTATTATGGTTTTCCTGATTTCTCCCTACTCACCCTATAGACTGTTAGCAACTTGAAAGCAGGAATCTATGTCTGCTTTGCCCACTGATGTGTTCAAAAACACCTAGAACAGTGACAGACACAGAGTAGGTACTCAATAAAATTGCTGAATGAATGAATAAACAGAGAAAGCAGAATTTAAAAGTCACCTAAAATTCTGCATTTTTTAACATGGCAATACTTTTCATTTCCAAAAGGATCCTGATTGAATAATTTTTACAAGACATTATTTATGATTTTTTCTTCTGATTTAAAAAGACGATGTATATTTTATATATTGTTAAAAGCAGAGATATTAAGTATTATATCGTTCACTGAGTGTAACCCACGCTCCTACCAAGATCCGTAACTTTTCCATCATGACGTCATTCCCACGGGCCCCATCCCAGTCAATCCTAACTTCCCATTCCAGGGAACCAATTTTCTTATTTCTTTCACCAAAATTTAGTTTTGCCTGCTCTAAAATTTCATATAATTGTCACAGAAAGTATGTACTTTTCTGTGTCTAGCTTCTCATATTGGTTTTTTTTTTTTTTGCGGTACGCGGGCATCTCACTGTTGTGGCCTCTCCCGTTGCGGAGCACAGGCTCCGGACGCGCAGGCCCAGCGGCCATGGCTCACGGGCCCAGCCGCACTGCGGCATGTGGGATCCTCCCGGACCGGGGCATGAACCCGCACCCTCTGCATCGGCAGGCAGACTCTCAACCAGTGTGCCACCAGGGAAGCCCTCATATTGTTTTTGAAACGTATCCATTTGTTGCATAAAAAGCAGAGTAGCCCCTTGCTCTTTATCACGGAGTGGTTTTCTTCTAGACAGAAATCCCACAATATGTCTAGCCATTCTCCTCTTGACATTTTTGGGGCTATTTTGAATAAGGCTTTCATGAACATTCTTTTTGTTGTTGTTGTTGACAGATGTTTTTACTTCTCTTGTTAAATACCTCAGAGTAGAATTGCTGGGTCATAGTCATAAGTTGGGTGTATTTTTAACTGAACAAGAAACTACCAAAATGTTTTCCAAAGTAGCTGTATTATCTTGCACACCCTAAAGCAACATATATGAATTCCATATCCTCACCAACGTTTGTTTTTATCAGTCTTTCAAATATTAGTCATTCTAGGGGGTGCAGGAGAGTATTTCATTATGGCTTTAATTTGTGTTTCCATGTTGACTAATTATGTCAAACACTTTAAAATGTTGGTCATTTGTATATCTTCCTTTGTGAAATGCCTGTTCGTGTCTTTTGCCTATTTAAAAAAACTGGCTGTCTGCCTCTTTATTTATTTAATTTTTTTAACATCTTTATTGGAGTATAATTGCTTTACAATGGTGTGTTAGTTTCTGCTGTATAGCAAAGTGAATCAGCTATATGTATACATATATCCCCATATCTCCTCCCTCTTGCATCTCCCTCCCACCCTCCCTATCCCACCCCTCTAGGCGGTCACAAAGCACCAAGCTGATCTCCCTGTGCTATGTGGCTGCTTCCCACTAGCTATCTGTTTTACATTAGGGAGTGTATATATGTCCATGCCACTCTCTCACTTCGTCCCAGCTTCCCCTTCCCCTTCCTGGTATCCTCAAGTCCATTCTCTACGTCTGCATCTTTATTCCTGTCCTGCCCCTAGGTTTTTCAGAACCATTTCTTTTTTTTTTTTTAGATTCCATATATATGTGTTAGCATACGGTATTTGTTTTTCTCTTTCTGACTTACTTCACTCTGTATGACAGACTCTAGGTCCATCCACCTCACTACAAATAACTCAATTTCATTTCTTTTTATGGCTGAGTAATATTCCATTGTATATATGTGCCACATCTTCTTTATCCATTCATCTGTTCATGGACACTTAATGTTGTTTCCATATCCTGGCTATTGTAAATAGAGCTGCAGTGGACATTGTGGTACATGACTCTTTTTGAATTATGGTTTTCTCAGGGTATATGCCCAGTAGTGGGATTGCTGGGTTATATGGTAGTTCTATTTTTAGTTTTTTAAGGAAACTCTATACTGTTCTCCACAGTGGCTGTATCAGTTTACATTCCCACCAATAGTGCAAGAGTGTTCCCTTTTCTCCACACCCTCCCCAGCATTTATTGTTTATAGATTTTCTGATGATGGCCATTCTGACCGGTGTGAGGTGATACGTCATTGTAGCTTTGATTTGCGTTTGTCTAATGATTAGTGTTGTTGAGCATCCTTTCATGTGTTCGTTGGCAGTCTGTATATCTTGTTTGGAGAAATGTCTTTATGTCTTCTGCCCATTTTTGGATTGGGTTGTTTGTGTTTTTGATATTGAGCTGCATGAGCTGCTTGTACATTTTGGAGATTAATCCTTCGTCAGTTGCTTCATTTGCAAATATTTTCTCCCATTCTGAGGGCTGTCTTTTCGTCTTGTTGATGGTTTCCTTTGCTGTGCAAAAGCTTTGAAGTTTCATTAGGTCCCATTTGTTTATTTTTGTTTTTATTTCCATTTCTCTAGGAGGTGGGTCAAAAAGGATCTTGCTGTGATTTATGTCATAGAGTGTTCTGCCT